GTAACCTTCCATTTACATGCTGTTTTGTTGCCAGTCTTCCCTGTTGAACAGGCAAGTAAAATTTTGCCACAGCAAGTATGTCATCTGGCATACTTGCCCAGCTGATGACTTGACGAAAAAATCAATTACAGATCCCTGTTATTTGCAGGTCACATGGTGGACTATTGGCCAGTGAAAAGGAAGGGGGGAAAGCACCGACTGATAAAGACTAAAATTTATGATTGTCCTGCTTTATAGTCAAAACCTTGATAAACAGGTACATCATACCATTAGCATCAGACTGTTATGCAGAACACTGACCTTGAGAAAGTCAGTTTTAGCAGCTTTCACTACTCTGATTAGCAAGTGTACATTGTAGCAACCTAGAAAAAAGGGATCATGTGTATTTTGTGCACCCCTCGACCAACACTCGACCGATGTATTGGTCAATATGTTGACCAACACTCGACCGATATGTCAGTCAACATATCGTCTGACACTCGGCCGATGTATCGACCGAGATAGGTTGGTCAAAATATTGACCAATACATCGGTCAAGTGTCAGTCAATATGACACTCAACCGATATGTCGGTCGATATGTCGACTGAGAGTGGTTGTCTGATTTTCAGCCGACAAGTCGATCAATAGGCTACCGACATTCCGCTGATACTTCGCTAATACTTGGGTACTAGTTACTGTAGCCTGCATCGCAGAAGTAATTTAATCCAAGTTAGTAACGTCTGCTGAGCAGCGCAAATACAGTATCCCTGTTCTACCCCCCGCTTCTCAGAGGCTTCTTTGTATAAACCCGGCGTAGTCAATCAAACAAAACCGAAACAAAAATCAGTCGAACTCAATCGAACCCAGTCGGTCGAATTGTTGTTCAATTGGTTCAGTGATCGAACATAATTGAACTGGAACTTATCGGTGAGTTCGATTAGTGAACTTTATCGAACCATTCGAACTCAATCAACCCAATTACTTCGATTTTGTTTGGCAGAAAGACAAAACGAATCCAGTTTCAATTGAATCGGAAAGACCTCCCTCTAGTATGTATTTGAAGCAGTTTGACAACAAAAATCTTTCAATTAATATTTTGGGCAGTCAGCAGTAACTCGTGTTACAGCGCGAGTTTTAAATAAGACAAACAAACAAGGCGGTGAAAAAAGCAATGGTACACAGAAGACCATTTCTCAAAATCTATTCATTTAAATTTTGTGATATTTGGCAGAATTTTTATTTTTATCATATTTTAAATGAGAACTATAAAATGGAAGTTGAACAGACAATTTTGAGAGACATTTAATAACTGGAGTGCAATTATATTATTGATTATCTAAAAACCTGTCTGTTAGAATTTGGTCAAACAAGTTGCAAATGGCAATGACTAATTGTAATAAGCTGTATGCAATGATGGTAATGATTAACTGTAGTAAGCTATATGCAAGTTTATAGGAAAATCAGCAAATTTTATGCGCATGGTGCAAAAGTGATATTTTAACAACCCTCCAAGTTGCGACCATTTTAGTCGCCATGGCGACTAGAATTTTGGAGCTGGTGACTAAAATTAATGTGACCTATGCGTCAGGAACTCGAGCCGACTATCATCTGGAGCAAAAAGAAAAACATTCTGAGCATTACGAATTCACTTTGCAAAGCTAGTTGTTGTGGATTTTAACCAACAGAAATGGAGACTGAATAAAATGAAATGTTACACGGTAAACAAAGATCAAGGAATTGCAATCAGTTGAGCTTGGGACGTGATGAAATTCGTTCCACTCGACTGAACTTTGGCACGTGACAATTTTACCTGGAAGCGCGAGACAACGCACGCAATCCGGTCATTTGCCATCGAAAAGGAGAGGAATTGCAAAAGCTTGGAAAGCTCGACGGTGACAGGATCCACAATATATTTGAGAAACATCNAAAACGAATCCAGTTTCAATTGAATCGGAAAGACCTCCCTCTAGTATGTATTTGAAGCAGTTTGACAACAAAAATCTTTCAATTAATATTTTGGGCGGTCAGCAGTAACTCGTGTGACAGCGCGAGTTTTAAATTAGACAAACAAACATGGTGGCAAAAAAAGCATTGGTAAACAGAAGGCGATTTCTCAAAATCTACTCATCTAAATTTTGTGATATTTGGCAGAATATTTACTTTTATCATATTTTAATGAGAACTATAAAATGGAAGTTGAACAGACAATTTTGAGAGACATTTAATAACTGGAGTACAATTATATTATTGATTATCTAAAAACCTGTCTGTTCGAATTTGGCCAAATGAGTTCCAAATGGCAATGACTAATTGTAATAAGCTGTATGCAATGACGGTAATGATTAACTGTAGTAAGCTATGTGCAAGTTTACAGGAAAATCTAATCTGCGAATTTTATGTGAATGGTGCAAAAGTGATATTGTAAGGTTGTATTCAATTGTTTATGTTGCCAAGGACACTAGAAAAACATCAAATTTTGCCTATCAATCACAATCTTTCATCAGTATTTTTTCACCCACCTGAGTTTCAGCTTGTGAGCTGCAACCTTTCTCTTGCTATGATTTGGAAAATGACATACAACACTCACAAACTGCCAAAACTGTGTTTAGCCACCATAATTTTAAACTATTCCGACGAATGGCGAGGCATCAAATCAAGCAAATAGGGTATTATTACAGTTTTACCTTGCTAGACTAATAGGCATTTGCGAGTTGAAGATAATAGACAAGAAGAAATACAAAACTATAACAGAAATGGAGAGGCTCTTATCATAAAAAACCAGCAATGAAAACGATCAAAAGAGATGCAGGGCTGTCCTTTCCAAATATAAAGCANAAGATAATAGACAAGAAAAAATACAAAACTATAACAGAAATGGAGAGGCTCTTATCATAAAAAACCAGCAGTGAAAACGATGAAAAGAGACGCAGGGCTGTCCTTTCCAAATATAAAGCGTGGGAAAACTACTCCCATTTTTCCCATCGGAATGCTTTTATAAAGAGTAATATCAAAAGATTGATGATTAAGAATTATACGTACCTAGGCGAAAAACACATTTCAAGTTATTGTAATATTTCTTCGTTTGTTAATTTTAAACTATTTGTACAAGTAAATATGGAATTATTACAGTTTTACAGGGCTAGATATGAGGATTACCTTTCATGTTGAAAAGTAGAGTCAATGATATTGTTCTCTTTTTATCTTTTTGAGACACGTGAAAAGAAAAGACCATAAATGAAAAAGAATTTCTTTTTTCATAATTTAAATATCCTAACTGTTTTTTTTTATGAAATATAGTAGTTTTATCTATTCTGGAGATAATCTCAGCATACTGTCATTAATATTTCACGGAGCAACATGATTATTTTCGACAGAATCAGATAAATTGTAGCAGAACTTAGAAATCATCCAATTCGGTAAAACGAAAGATTCAATAGGACAAATATGACAGCCACTTAGCGTGACATCGATAGACCGAATTAGTCATTCAATTTTTGTTTTGCTAAATAATAATAATATTGTGATATAATAAAAAATAACAACAGAAAGTAGTTAGTCGCTAACAATAAAGGTGTTAGAAATATTATACCCATGAACAATTGTAGTTTCAACGGAGAACAAATAAACTTTTCAATTAAAGGCATAGTGGACCATTCTACCTCCATTTTTGCACCAAACCTGATAACGTCGTTTTTCAATTTGCTACATCAGAATGTCATCAATAACCAAACTCGAACATTGTATGGAAAGGTCCATCCTAGCTCTACTATCTGCTTATCAAGAATATCCGATGACATTTAAATTGATGACGTCACAAGTGGTACAAAGAGCATGTCCATAAAGTACGTGTACATACATGTAACTGGTAACCAAAGGGTTAAACAAGAATTCACATTTTTTGATTTTTTTATCTTGATTGTTTTGTCAAATGCTTGCATAACTCTCCTAAATTTTAAGTCGTGCAGTAACCCC